CTTTTTGTTATTTTTTAGCAGGTCTTAATAATAAATTTATTAATAGAGTTAAAGCAGAGGTTGGATATTTATTAGATACATCTGGAACATCATCATCAGCAATAGAAACCTTAGCAGATGCTGGCTTAACGGTATAACATGAGACTATTGCATGGCAAAAAACCCAACATGCGAAAACACAGGCAATGACAGTAGAAAGTTTTCTGTCAAATAATGTAAGCTTAGAAAAAAACTAAAATTTGAATTTCTATATATATATATATTATATAATATAGTATTTTGTTTTATGCTTCGAATTTTCAAATTACTAATCAATATATATTTTTATTAGGATGGAAAGCTAATTGTACTTAATATTGATAATTTCCATAACATACACGAATACCGTCATAGCGATTCAATGTTAACACATAATATCCTTCACTTCGCTACAGTATTGCTTAAAGCTCTGCCAGATACAGCATTAATCCCGAACATTGAAAATAAAAATATTCACAATAAAAGAGGTATTGATGCAAAAATAATTATCGACAATGCTAACTTATTTTTTTTTTCTAATTTATAGCATAGTTACATGGTACGAAGGTCAACATTTGTCAATTCAATACCTTTGCCTGCGATACACGAAGAGCGAGTTGAACATCTATTAGTTCACAGTTATGATATTCAAATCAAACAATATAAAGAAGATCGAAGTATGGACAATACTAAACTTGTAGAACTAAAGGAAGAAGCACTTCATTTAGTCGACGATTACGTTGATGCTCTTCGAAGTTTGATGGATATAACTGAAATGAAGTCTTACTTTGAGACACAAATTATGATAACACCTATGGATTATCTCAGGCAGCTTAACGTACGATATGCTATTAATCATAGAATTAAATTTGGAAATTCATCCAGTATACCAGAGCAGGTTCTTTGTATAGTGCCAATGATTAGGCTTCTATATGTATCCTTGAATAGCTGTGAGACTGTATTTCTTGTTAATTATAATTTTTTTGAAAAGCTTTATCTTGGTATTTATAGGGATGGGAAGGTTTTGGCTAAAAAGCCAAAACCTTACAAAATAAATTTATTATTAGAGTTAATGTTTAAAGGCTGGTCTCAAATTCGTCTAATGGTTCTACGAAAATTTGAGCAATCAAAAGATCCAGAAGTCAGATATTTAATTAATATTCTGGATAATATTATTCCACTGGTTTTGGATTTTTATTCTGTTATATTTCATAGTGAAAACTGGCCGGTTTATCGAGAAGTGATGTTTCATGTTTGGAGTATTTTTTATCAATATTAGCGGAAAAACTATAATAAGTTGCCACTAGCTTTTTTGAGTGACATGTTTTATTGGGGCAGTATTAATCATCCTATTGCACACGCACTTACTAATTCTCTTCATGTATTTAATAATTATTATGTAGAAAATTTTCATAGCTCAATTAGACATCAAGTACAACCATCTAACATGGCCGAACAAATCATTCGAGAAGCACAGATAATAGATCTAATGCATAACAAAAATGCATTCGAGGAAGCTTTTTCTGACAACCACAACATTAGATATTCAGCGAGACAACTAGAATATCTTGAAAAACGAACTGCATTATGTTTACTAAATCTTTTTACGAATGTCTATAAAAACTTAGGTCAATCTGTTATAATATCGGGTTCGAAATTGAAATGTAGATTTCCAACACTAAAAGACGATATTGATGTTATGGCGTTGCCAATAGCATGGAATACTGCGTATCCTCCACGGAATGATAAGTACTGTGATTTGGAATACTGTAGAAGGACTTGTGAGGTAGGATTTATACTTATTTGTGGTCAATATTGATCGGATACTAAAATAAAGAAATTTTAATCGTAAAAAATATGGATACAAATTTATTAAATTAAATTGTTTACGTACTTTATCCAATACACACAATAATTGTTCTTGAAGAGTTATACTCGGTAATGATCTATCAGGAAGAGGTTCTAACCAATATCTAATAGCATCCAAGATGTTATTGTCCAATAATGCATCCACCATATAAGTCTTGGATAATTCTCGTACTATACTCTCCAGATTATCTAGCTTTCTACTTGCAGGTTTTTTACTTTGGCAATTGGTTACATCATCATCCGCAAGCTTCATCATTCTTCTGTACAATCTTTCAGCTGTAGCATCATGCTCTTTTTCAAGGTCAATTCCTTTTGATTTTGTTCTACCTTTCTTCTTTGGCATTAATTCATCAAATAATTTCTCAACCATCATTTTCGACTCCATTAAAGGCATCAATTCACGAGAACCCTCCCTTACATTATCTTCATCTTCATCCCCCTCTCTTATTTCATCTCTTCCTTTTTTTCGTCTTTGCTTCCTTTTTTTTTCTGATGTCTTTCGTTGTTTTCTCTTTACAGGTTGAGGTACATACACTTCATCTTCATCTCGATCACCTTCTGGAGTTGAACGTTCATCGGGTCTATAAGGCGAAGGCGCTGGTGATACGCTCCCTGTTTCCCTATATGGTTGAGACTTTTTTTTCGCTTTTTGATTGGGAGCCGGTCTTTCCTGATCCGATTCAAAGTCAGATAAATAATCCGCGACATCGGAAAGCTCTGCCGAACCATCGCCAAAAAGTTCTTCATAATCTTTTTCTTTTTGCCTTTCTCCTCTAGACATTTTAAAGGTGTGCTAAAAAAAAAAGAAAA